ATCCAATAATGCAAACTCCAACAATGCTTACCATCCAATAATGCAAAACCCAACAATGCGTACCATCCAATAATGCAAAACCCAACACTGCTTACTATCCAATAACGCATGAAAATGTGCACTAGTGTAGTTAACGACATTAAAAACTGCATTAGTGTCGAGTATTGGCACTCACACGTCCATGTAGTGTCCTGCACTCTGAAGGCCGTCACCCATCTCATTCTCAATCGCGCTCCATTCGCTGAATACGCGGCCATAGTTGGCGTGAACCTTGTGCACTCCGTACAAAGTGTCAACCAGTTTCTGCAAAAATATATTAAGAGTGAGTCACACGATAGTTGCATAACCATTATTACATTGAATTAAATGCTTAATATTAAATAGCAGGATTTCCATGACCATAGTTATAACATGAGCAAATACATTATGCAATGACCTGACTATGTTCATCGTTAGGTAGCGCCACCATCCAACATCACTGAAACATTTTTGTTCTTTATATACACTGAAACAAACTTACAGTAGGAAATATCTAATCAAAACAAGAGCCATAGAGCGTCTGGGCTCATCTGAGGTCTGTTGCTACGGTTATAAACGTAACATTTAAGTCGTGCGTAGTGACACCTTTGTTAGGCGCAGATATGCAGATACGCAGTTGCGTACACATCATTTCAGCAACCTTCTGCATTCTGCATACCTCCCAAATCCCATTGGTTGATACAAATCGCGTGCCTGAAACTCCTGTTTTATGGTGCATTGTGACCCTAACCCTAACCCTAACCCTATTAAAAAATTAAAAAATTTAATTGTAAAAATTATTTGTTATGAAATTGTTGTAAATAAATCATGTAAATATTTTCCTTAATTGGAAAGAAATTGGAGAAATGAAATTTGATAGGATTCGATCCAAGGACCTTTGAGCTGCAATCCTGTGCTGAAGCCGTTTGGCTATCGAGGCATATTGGGTTTCCAGATTATGGATGTGCCATGAATATGAGAACACTGACATCATTGAGGCAGTTCAGGAATCCATGTTTAACCCTCCTCTTGAGGACGGACGCACACACACTCATGCGATTCTACAAGCTGCATCTGACTATGTCAGATGAGCTAATAAATAATAACTAGTACCATATAATATATATTTACTTTTCATCTTGAATCTTAACATATATCATGTAGCTATGGCCGTGAGTGGGTGAGTTCTCAGTAAAGCAGGATCCATAGACTACCTATATTCTTAGTACGGCAGTACTCGCAGAGTGGGTGAGTTCTCAGGAAAGCAGTGCATGCTGAGTGTGGGAGTTCCTAGTAAGACAGTACGTGCAGTGTAAGTAAGTTCTTAGTGTGGCATTGTACTCGGCGCGGCTGCAAGTACAAAGTAGACGAGTACTTAGTGTGTTAAAATGTGCAGAGTAGGCAATGTTCCTTGTAAGACAATATGGACAGAGTGGCTCACTTCTTACTGTAATCATACACATGGCACGAGCGAATGTTTAATACAAGAGCATTGATGCCATGGGGGGTTTTATACGAAGGGGAAAACTCGTAGTAAGCTGCTATGAATGCGGGGTGTACTTGGTTTTGATGTGAACATGTTCGTGGTCTTAATGTTTGCTTCGCTATTCACTTTCAGAGGTGTGAGACCATTTGGCGTGTCCCTGTTGATCGCTGGATGGGATGTAGATGCTGAACGACCTTACCTATTCCAGTGTGACCCGTCGGTATGTGGCGCTAGATTCTAAATCCTCTGTGGCCAGAAACAGTTTCATGGGAAATGTGAACGTGGCCTGAGAAATTAATTCGATGCTAAATTAAATGTACAATCATAGTTTGCAACCCTAGATCATAAGTTACTATCAGAGTTCATAAGCTTGGATATTCAGATTATTTGTATTTGTTTTCATTGTTTGATATAATTTTTGCTTAATAGATTTTGTTCTAAGTACTCCATTTTCAATTTCTACCAGGGAGCATATTTTGCCTGGAAGGCTACTGCATTAGGGAAGAATTTTGTCAATGGAAACACTTTCCTGGAGAAAAGGTAATGTCGCAAAGGAAAATTATCCTGCGACCGTCGTAGAAGTGTCTGTGTCATCCATGCATGTGGATAGGTCAACTAGTTTCTATGTACATAGCAATCACAAGTTTTTTCATTTGACCACAATAACTGGACATACCGTGCTTTTGACTCAAACTTCCCACTGAACGTAGATTTCATTTGTGACCCTCACCCGCTCGAGTTTTCGTCTCCAGATACAGCGAAGATATCGAACTGGAAGACGCCATACACACCGCGATCTTGACACTGAAGGAGAGCTTCGAAGGTCAGATGACAGAGGACAACATTGAAGTCGGCATCAGCAATGCCAGCGGCTTTAAAAGGCTCACGCCACCCGAGATCAAGGACTACCTGGCGTCGATATCGTAGAATTGCTGCTAATGCGTGCATGCACGTCCCAGTAGGGTCAATGGCGCATCTGCAGTCTTACAAGCTAGGTCGCTTTTTTTTCTCTTCACAGACGCGAGGGGTATAGATTGCGAGTTATTTCTCGTGTTCACTAATAGCTTAGTGCGAGACAGAAAGAAACAGAGACAGAGAGAGAGAGAGAGAG